GAATTCATTTTACAAATAGCACATGGTACATTGACGTGTCACATTATTTGTAGGAGACACATTGTCTCATCTTATGATTTGTATGTGTTCTAAAATAAACAATTGAATTGCTGGTGACAATTACAGCACAAATACTCTTTTTAATATAAAAATTAAACTTCAAATATAGACAAATTATTTTGGTACTTGAATCAGCATATCTAATAAATTTTTGAGGAAATAATACAAATATGTGTAATACTGGGCATTTTATTTTACCTGAAATTTCTTTCTTTACCACTTGCGAAAAAATATAACCCGACCTCCTTAGTTTAGCTTGTTCGGTACAGTAATATTCCTAAATAATATAGTCATTTTCGAAAAAAAGTTCCTTTCACTATGACTTAATTATTGAATATACTTAATGTTAATAATAACTGTTGACAACTAGTAACTTACGAGTTTAAAATTGAAATAAAAATATTTGGTTATGTCCTTAACTTCAGTTTCGTTTGTGCAGCCATCTCAAGCACTTTGAAGAAAACAGGCAAGCACTGAGACACCTCAAGGACATCATTGATGAAATGAATAGCAATATTGAATTTGTGCAGTAAGTATTGAAATTAAGAAGGGTCATATAAACAAATATCCTTGTAGAAATATACTCTTACGTTTATACATTGCGTTCAAGCAGAAGAGGAATACTGTAATGACGTTCATAGTTATTAGTGCATAAACTCCGTCCTAAAGCTAGCACCACACGAGCGTCAACTGACGGTCGTCAAAGTACGACCGTCGTAGCGCAGCAAGGAAGCACATGAGTGCTCTGCAGTGACGTCCGTTGCCAACCACGTACGTCGCCACACGGCCAGCGGATGTTAGTCATAGAAAGCGCACGTTGTTTCTCATGGATCCTGATGCAGGCTGTTTCATAGGGTGCACGTCCAGGCTCGTTGATACGTAGTTGCAGCAGCCTACGTTGTACGTACGTTGAACCCCGTTGAGTGAGCGGCATTTTTTCATTCATAAAATGAATAGATGAGAAAAAAGACTCATTGAAAGATTAGTTAATGAAGTACATATGTATTGGTCTGTCGGTATTGCACACGTCACATTAGTATGGTAGTGTTTAATATATTGGTGTAATTTTCAGAGCACATTTGTGAATAACGGCTCGGACATTCGAAAATAATTAAAAAATTTCACAGTTGGTGTATAAAATCTGAAAACGTAAAAAAAAAAAAACTTTTCAAACCCGCTCGCTATTAATGACATGACCCATCATGTTTACCTGTTTTCTTTTATGTTTCATTGTAAGGTAACTCACAATGGTAAGCTAACACCGCGGCATACCTGGTTGCTATCACATTACGCTTTGACATCAATTGACTAGGTGATTCTACTCATGTGACCAGTTTCATCTACGACCGGTAAATATAGGACGTTTACGGCGTACATTTTGCGATGCTTGTTTGTCGCAAGCTCTAGTCCTATTTTTAACATGCTTTGAATGGATAAGTCTATTTTATGGAACATGTGTTGTATTATATCTGAATTTTTTTTTGCTTTGAAAAGAACATATCAACATTTTATTTAACATTTAAATTAATCTAAATAAAAATTCTGTATTTTAAATTAAGTAAATGAATTTATTCTTATGATTGTACATAAATTATTGTAAATATATCATCAGCCATACTTCCAAGTATGTTAAATAAACGAGGAATGAGTACAAAAATTTACCTGAGGTCAGCTTGCTTTATGCCAAAGAGCAGCTTGGCCGATCCAAATAACACGCCGGCAAAGTTTACAACTATAATTCATAACAGTTCTTCTACCAGTGAAATAACAGTGAATTACTTATAATCTATGTCTTTTGGATTTTCCTTTCGTTCAACTGTTACGATTTAGCTTTATTTATTTATTTATTTCCTCTCTAAAATTTCGCCTTATTTACATGTCAGAATAATTGTTTGGGACAAACTAAACAAACTACTGGGATAAGGAAGTAGGAAATGGAGTGCAATCCAAATAAAATAAAATGTGATTTTAGAACAAAAATTAAATGTAATAAGCCCAACTACTTTTAAGTTCTCCACTGATGGCCTTCGTGTACCGATCCCAGAGTTTTTCGTCATCCACAATATTGATCAATTATAAAGATGAGTAATTTAAAGAATAATGTAGTAGTTACTAAAAATAGCTGTTGACGTCATCATGGTGAACGTTCTAGAGAGCATGACTAGGAAAAATGAACATGACAAGAGATCTTGGATTAACATATGGAAATTCATTTCCGCGTTGGCGCACACAAGTAGTTGATTTCAACAGAAGCTTATTTAAGCTGGGATGTAGGCAAACCCTTCACTTAACCCTTGTCACTGTGCAAATTAAGAACCTTCGCATGAAGTAGTGTAGGGCGGCTTAAATGCAAGAATTAGGATCAGCGAGGCCGCAGTCGCCCTTTCCTCTAGACTTTGCAGGTCGCGCCCAAGCCTCTCCCCTGTGACAGTCACTCTAAATAGTAAGGCAGAGATAAGCGCTGGGCCAGGGCTCGTCCAGAGCAATCTGCGAGGCTCGGCTGCTTGCCTTTGTGCGCAGGAAGCGCTCCGTGTGCTACATCGGCGCCGGCATGGGCCACAACTGCGAATACGGCGAGGCGCTGGACTCGGCGTTCGCGGCGCGCAACCTGCTGGGCGACGACAACCCCGGCAAGCGCGGCCCGCTGCCCCTCGCGCCCGCCGGCGCCCCCTTCTAACCAGGTAAGCCCCCTGCCCCCTGTCCCACACGCACACTGGTTTAAAATGCCGATACATCGGATTTGGAACGAAGACGATGATGGGAATAGTAGTTACAAACTTCTATCATATAGGGGTGGGCAAATAGGGGATCGAAGATTATTACGTTTTGTCAATGAACATATTGTGAGAATATGAATGCATAAGCATATTGCAGTGCATATGAAGATGTGTTTGATCTTTGCCACATGTGACAATTGCCCCTGATTTCTACGCAGCTTATATTACACTGCTTTTTGGCAGATAAGCGAAATCTCTTGGCCTGTTTCAGAATGTGTGGCTGTCACCAGCACGCTCACGATTAGCTGCTGTCAATTCAGGGTCATGTGATTCAGTGTAACTTTTATTTTTAAAATTTCTAAAATTAATTTATAAAATGTACGTATACAGTTTATATAGTAGTATAGTGTACGTATACAGCGAGAACCAAGATTGCAATGCTCACATGAAGGAGTATGGTGGTCTTGTGATCCAAAGCGCAAAGAAATGTGATTCTCAAGAAACGTAGGATGCTGGATTCGTGATTAGGGTGTGCCTTTTACATATCGGCATCACCATTAAGAAAAACTATTTAATTCAACTATGTGTTTTACTTGCTTCCATTTGTTTTTATTCACCATCGCTATGCTATGCTACCTATGCTATGAAGATCAAACACAGGCTCTATATACGTATTTTGACTGTTTCTATCTTGTTTATCTAGGTAAATGGATTGAAACGAAGCAAGCTGAATGGTATGGATTAAGAAGAGTCACTATCGCTGCTCTTGTGCTTTTGTTTCAATCGCACAAGGAAATATCTGATTATTGTATTTTCTAATACAAGAGCAATTGGAATAATGACACTGTCTCACTTCTTTCCATGTTCGTATTATAGAACTGTAGATATGTCATAATGTAGATATTTGTCAATAAAGGTATTTCCGTAAAGTTATTTATTCTAAAGTTATCTTTCCTTCCTTTGCATATTTTCCCAAAGCAGTTTTGAATAGATTTTTATAAATTCTGAGATGTGGAAGGTTTCAGACTTTCTTTGATATAAACTTTATAACACTCATGGGAACTGCGAGTATATTGATGTAAATTATTCATTTCTGACACAATTGCTAGTAGTTGTCTTTAATCTTGTGGCATTTATAATTATAGGTATTGTGACCGCTTGTGCTTGCCGATCATCACATGATTGTTGGAAAGAAGTATAGAGTGAGACGTCAAGTTAAGAAATATTTCCGTTGATTTACTGCTCAAAAGTTTTGTGGTTTTCGGAATTGTTCAATTCCAATTTATTTTCAATCTTCGTTGAAGCAGGGATATATGAACAGTATTACACTGTATTTGGCGCGCATTATTTCATGCATATAAATTACACGCAGACTTGACCGGAGAGGATTAAGTAGGTATGTAACATGTCCTTGAATCTTTCATCAGTGTTGTGACATATCACATCGTCCCATTCACGTGAGGAAGGGGGTTTGCATATCCGCTCGACAGCCGCCGTAACGGTGGCGATGGCGCTTCTTTGAAAATCCAAAGAGAAAACAGTGATAATCTCGTGGGGTGGGTGCAAGGTGCGCGCGAGGAATGCCTGTTTTGGCTTGAGGGATGCACGGAAGGCGGTGTGTGGTGCTGGAAGACTGAACGGAGCCAAGGCAGAGGCCGAGCGAGCAAGCTGGTCCCTTCGCAGAAACTCGAACCAGGCTTTACGCAGGGTGAGGTAAACGTTTTCTGGTCTACGGGGGGGGGGAGTCCCCACAAACGCGCCGAACAAGTGCCCCTATGGTCTCCCCGGACGCGTGCGCTTTTTCAATGTCTGGTGAGAACAGGGAGAGAGCCTTGGAGGAAATAATGTCACTGATTTTTTTCAAGAAACACTCTAAAACGTGTGACACAGGTGACGAAAAAGAATGCTTACTGGAACTCTTTTCTTGGTATTATTTCAGATTCCATGTAGACATCTTGATTAAAGCAAAACGATGAGGAAAATATTCGTGTTTTCCTTAATCAGATCTGTTTGAAAGCCTTTCATGTATGCAAACTTTGCTTACGTGAATGTTTCGACCAAATTGGTTCTTTGTTTGTTACCATTGTTTAAATAGATGTTATCTGTTGTTTCAGTTTTCTGTTGTGGAAAATATTTTCTTATTTGTATAAATTGTACATACAAATCTGAAGATTTATATACAGAAATTGCTGAAATAAGTTGGTGCAAATGTTTTGTGTGTGGAAGACTGATAAGAACTCTTCTCACTTCTCACCACTTCATTACTTACACAATAAAAATCATTAGGTATTTAATCTTAAATAAGAGGAGACTGCAAAGAACTCTTATTTCTTTACCCAACTTCTTTACTTGAATTAAAATATTAATGTGGTACTTGCTTGTCATGTGATGTTAGGTCTCTGTGTTTGCCTTTGCATTTGTTTATAGTTTCAAAGGATAAAAGTATATGTGGACTGGAATACTATTCATGTAACCGGTAATACGCGCAACTTCTTTACTTGCATTATAATATTCATGCATTACATTCCTGAGCTACGTTTCGTTGCTGTGTTTAATTTTACTTATATTTGTACTTATAAAGGATCAAAAGTATAGGTGGATTTAAATACAATAAATTTAACTGGTAAGATGTCCAACTTCTTACAATATATCAATTATTAACCCAATGAACAGTGTCTTTTAATGTGTTTTCCCCCATGTTTCATCCGTTGCGCTTCTAATTAACATAAAAACATTGACACTCTAGATTTTCACCTTCGCATTAAATTTTATTCGATCAGCGGAAAAGCATTAAATCCATCCAATATATTGAGAGAATGGTATCAGTGTTGACAACTTTTAGAAGAACATTAAATTTTCATATTTCACGGAAATATTATTTAAATAAAATGTTATCTTTCAAAGCTATCATTCCTAATAGTATGTTCAGCCCGTAACATAACAAGGAAGATTACTTCATGCCGGTTATAAAGATGAAATGTCTAAGAGCTGAAATACAGAAGAATTTACCCTCAACCACCTTCGATATTCTCTCATTAACTGATGAAGAAACATTCATTATCTTTTTTAAAAAGATAACCGGCAAACAGTTTTGAAGGTAACTTGCTGTTCATGATTTATAATTCAATTAACGAAAGCTCTTTCATAGCTTGCCAATTACAAAGGTAATATTCTTGCGCAATTAAGTTGGTATGGATAATCGGTTACAATCGAAATTATATTTCGCACATCACTAGTGACTACATCAAGACTTCATCAGATAATCGTTCCTTTTTTAATAAGTGTCATGCACATTTCAAAGAGAAAAAATGCATGATAATCGAATTGTCTTATATATTCTCTTCATTTGAATCATCCCTGTTTCTTGAATTGTTTTTTTATGTCTTGTGATTACATGTTACTAAATATGACTCAATGTCCACAAATGTCTTCTTCTAACAGTAGCTCTTCTTAATGACTGTGTTGGAATGAGTTGATAAAGAAAACTTTTTAAATGATATTTATACGGAGATAAATATCTCACATTGACGCAAACTTTCATTCCCAACAAAATATTTATGTATTCTTTCGAAGCCATACTATCTTCTACATTTGGAAATGGGAAATCGATATCAAAATTTAAAATTGCTATCAAAAGAGTAATTCATATAGAAATGGGTAATCCAACCGGACTGTTATACCAAAGTTGTCGGGTTCAATCCCGATCAAAGCCGGGGATTTTTATGGGCGAAAGAATTCTTCGTTCGCCTTCCTTCGGAGGGAAAGTAAAGCGGTTCTCACAGTATAGTAGATGTACTTGCATGAAAAGGATTCTCAGCCCTAAATGACGCATCTGAGCGAAATTCAAAATCGCCGGTCTCTCACTCAAAGAAACTCACAGAAACACCTCCTTTCTCCGAAAGCTGGAGGCCTCCTTTCTCCGAAAGCTCGACTGAAGAACCGGCCTCATGAGTCTCGCCCCGTAAAATAAGGGAATTATTCAATTCAATATCGAAATAGGAAATCCATATCGAAATGAGAAATTCATATCGAAATAGGAAATCCGTATCGAAAGGGAAAATCCATATCAAAACGAAAAATCCATATGGAAATGGAATATCGATATACAAATGGGAAATCCATATGGAAATGTGAAATCCATATCGAAATAGAAAAATTTATATCGAAATGGAATATCGATAAAGAAATAGGAAACCCACATGGAAATGGAAAATCCATATCGATAGGGGAAATCCATATCGAAACGTGAAATCCATATCAAAAACAAAAATCGATATTGAATATCGATATAGAAATGTGGAATCCGTAACGAAATAGAAAAAAATAATATCGAAATGGAATATCGATATGCATGGAATGGAAAATCCATATCGAAAGTGGAAATCCCTATCGAAATCAAAAATCCATACCGAAATATGGAAATGGAATATCGATAAAGAAATAGGAAACCCATATAGAAATGGAAAACCTATATCGAAATAGGAAATCCAAAACGAAACGAGAAGGCCATATCGATATCGAAAATCCTTATGGAAATGGAATATCGATATAGAAATGGGAAATCCATATCGAAATAGAAAAAAGAATATTGAATTGGAATATCGATAAAGAAATAGGAAACCCATATGGAAATGGAAAATCCGTATCGAAAGGGGAAATCCAAAAGGAACGAGAAGTCCATATCGATATCAAAAATTAATATGGAAATGGAATATCGATAAAGAAATAGGAAACCCATATGGAAATGGAAAATCCATATCGAAATGGGGAAATCCATATAGAAACGTGAAATCCATATCGAAAAAAAATCGATATCGAATATCGATATAGAAATGAGGAATCCGTATCGAAACAGAAAAAAAGAATATCGAAAAGTAATATCGAAATGGAAATGGAAATGGAAATGGAAAATCGATATCGAAGGGGAAAATTAATATCGAAATGGGAAATTATTGATTGTACTTAATTGTATCTCACTAACAATTTTAAATTCAAACAATTTTAACTTATAACCTTTAAAGAATTTTAAATTTTATTATTATTATAGCGGAACCCGGCAGATGTCATCCTGCCCTTCATATGCTGCTTCCTCTTTCCCTCTCCCTTTCTATCTCCGTCTCTTACTCTCTGTCTCTTTATCTGTTTATTTCTCTTCTCGTCTGTCTCTCTGTCGCTCGTTGTTTGTCTCTGTCTCTCTGTCCCTCTCGTACACATTTAGTTGCAGATTCTGAACGTCTCTCAGTTGGTGGGGTAATATCGACAAGCGGCGGTCCAGCAAAAATGTAATAGGATGTTCAAG